TGACCGCCTTCAGAAATCCACTAATAGATACAAGGTGCTCGAGACATAAAGATCATGGGTTAGTCGGCCCCTTCTAGCAACGATGCTGCTGGTACTAACACACTCGGTAGATGTCTGACTGGTCTGACATCTGCCATGTTCATCGACGAGAAGGAGACTTCTACCGTGGTACCTGAAGCCACGAACAATACGATAGCAAGCCTACCACCTTTGTCGGAGCTGGCCGCGTCTCCCGATCCGTCAGCAGGGCTGTATATCGAATCGCGGGGCGGAGAGACGGTACAGGTCAAGATACCGCGGGACTGCATCGCTTTTCAGACCGGCGAAGCTCTAGAGCGCATCACGGGCGGCAAGTTCAAGGCAGTACCGCACTTCGTAAGGGGAGTCAGGGCAGCTGTGAGCGACGGACGCGTCGCGCGTAACACGTTGGCCGTCTTCACTCAGCCAAACCTTGGCGAGGAGGTGGACAATGAGCAACACATAACGTTTGGCGAGTTTGCGCGGGGCATCGTGGCCAAGAACACTGTAACATAAGAGTGTCATCGTTCCGCTGATGAGAGTGTAAACGAAGCATGTCAAAGGTCACAGTCGGCTTGTTCATTGCTCCGGTGTATGTGACTAGTAGTCGAGTGTAGCCGACCCCGATGTTGGATTTGTCAAGATTGTTCGGGGCCACACGGTGGGGCACCCGACAGCAGGGGCCCGGCCGGTAGTCCCGGAGCTCGGTACTTGGTGTTGAAGGGGCCAGTCTATACTCCGAAAGGCAGCTCGGAGCCGTAGCTGTATATTCCAAATCATAGACCTAGAGGACTAGCCATGCCGAGGCCCAAGAGGCGCAGAACGATAGCGCATGAATTCTCTAGAATTGCGTGATGCTAATGGTGAGTTTCGAGGCTGCTCAGTCAGCAAAGCTTTCGTGCGCTTGCATCATGATTGCAAAACCTCACCTATTGGCAGCTACTCTGTGGACAAGGAGCTCTATCAACACCCGGAAGCTACCCCGCCCCCGCCGCCTGCTCCAATGGGGGCCTTTCGTCACCACTTCTGTCAGGTAAGGTATCCGTATTGCTGCTGCTGGGCCACCTGTAGGTATCTCATATCCCCCAGACAAAGCTCCATGAAGCTCCCCTCGAACGTGTTATTAAACCTGACTCGACGCCCAATCTTTGCGTCGTCTCTATTCCCACTCATCCCATCCTCAAGTTCGACGATACCACTCACCAGTAGAAACACTGCCCGCCTCCAACGCAACATAAGCACCACCGCCACATCCCGTTTCCGCTACACATCACCAGCAATGGCCGTACCGCCCAAATTCGCAGCTCACAAGCTGACCTTCGGAGCGGAACCCAAGCCCTCGGCCGACGGCGTCCCCGCGCAGCCGCACACCATCGAGCTCTACCTCGACTACGTCTGCCCCTACTCCGCTAAGCAATTCAACACATTTTACAACGCCGTCGTGCCCGCCATCCGCGCGAACCCGGCCTGGGCCGCCAACCTCGAGGTCATCTTCCGTCAGCAGGTCCAGCCCTGGCACCCCTCGAGCACATTGGTTCACGAGTCCGCCGTGGCCGTCGTCAAGACCGCGCCCGCCAAGTTCTGGGCGTACAGCGACGCCCTCTTCAAGGCGCAAAAGGACTACTTTGACGCCAACGTCGTCAACGAGCCGCGCAACGAGACGTACAAGCGCCTCGCCAAGCTCGCGGGCTCCGTGGGCGTCGACGAGAAGGCGGTGCTGGACCTGCTCGTCGTCTCGGACAAGCCCGACGCCGAGGGCGCGCTCAACGTCGGCAACGGCGTGACCAACGACTTCAAGGTGCTCATCAAGCTCGCGCGGTTGACGGGCGTGCACGTCAGCCCCACGGTGCTGTTTGACGGGTACCCGAACAACGAGATCAGCTCCGGCTGGACGCTTGACCAGTGGAAGGAGTGGCTTCAGAAGAACATTGTCTGACTTGAAGGGCGGCGGGGTTCGGCGCGGGATCACCGGCTTTGAGACGATGAGGTGCTGTTTGGTGCTCTATTAGCTAGTAGGGAATCTGGCAGGGTTTCCAGGTTGGATTCTCATAGTAGCGGTCTTCAGTCACGTCAATCATTTAACCTAGCATAGCCAACTTGTGTCCGAGAGTCAATCAAATAAGAAGAAACAATAATTCATGCCAGTTGCAGCTCGTGACGATTAATTGTTATCCTCATGAATTTCGGCGATGTTGAAATGTCGTACACCATCCGGGCGCTGGATACCGATTAAGTCAAGTCGCGTCGCGTGGGGAAAAATTAATTAGTACCAGGGAAGGTAGATGCGTGCAGTGACCTCATCCGACCTCAGCATTCTCATCTCACCATCAACCTCTCACTCTCCCTAATCCACCCATTTCACTCACTCACTCACTCTTCCCCTTTTCCCTTTGGACAACCTCACAATGTCCCTACTGCGGCTCGCCTTCATACGGCAACCCCCACAAACGATACGAATCCTCCCCACGATACGCCAATGCGCTCTCCGTCCTACCCTCCGGAAATCTCTTCTTCAGAACCAGCAATGTAGCCTGAGACGGCCCTTTGCCTCCGCACCACCGCCGCCGACCACCGGCCCCCGGGCCGTCATCACACCACCGAAGCCGAACTCAGCCGGCGCCGGAGGCTCTGCCGGTCCTCGGGCCGGGAACCCACGTGAGTAGTAGACCCATTCATACTTCATCTCACTGTCTCTGCACACAAAGCTAACGGTGACCTACTAGAACTGCCTGAGCGACTACTCATCTACCACGCCGGCACCGGTCGGACGGCCTTTCTGGCCTTCTGGAAAATCACCACCGTCTTCTCATGCGTCTTCTTCTGCTTCGTAGCTGCTCCCAGCTACGTCCGCGCCGAAGATAAGACTCTTACTGAGGCAGCGGGATGTAAGCTTCTCACCCCATATCTCACTCACACGTTGACTGCATTCCCATCCCATCATTCCCTATTCTCCTCCTGATAACCTCCCCCTTTGCTACACAAACCTCACAGCATCTGATGTTTCCAAACCATTCTCACATCCCATAAACCATCGCACATATACTAACACCCGATCCAGTGGCCGCCTGCGGCATCATCCCCTTCCTCTTCGTAGCCTACACCTCGGCCCCCTTCGTAACCTACATCTACCTCCGCCTACCCCCCTACGCGCGCCAATCCCGCGCCCTCCTAGAACGCTACGTCCGCACCCTCCCGCCCACAGCTCAACTCGAGATCGGCACAATGGGCCTCGCCACCCGTCCCCGTCTCACGGCCGTCACGGCCGCCGAGCTCCGCCCCGTGGCCGCGGACAGCGGGCCCTTGGCCACGCGCCTCGGCATCGTCACGCACACCAAGGACGTCTCGGCGCTGATGGCGAAGCGGAGGTGGTATCACTACCGCCCCGTCGGCCAGTTTGGTATCAACAGCGTTGAGGCGGGCGGGAAGGCGAGCAGCAGTGGTAGCAGTGGCGGCGGCAAGGGCGCTAGTCATGGCGTTAATGATGGGTGGGTGTGGAATATCGTGCGCGAGTCGCTGGGTAAGCGCAAGTGAGTAGGGCGAAAGGGTTGGCCAGTTTGCCAAGCGCGTCCCACCATGTATTCGAGACTCTCGAGTCAAGGAGAGAGAAGTGCCGGTCAGGGTGACGGTAGCATTGTACGATTCAAGCAAGACCGAGAGGGGGCGAAAGTGTACATACGCACGTTCTGCTAGTCGTGTACGGCGCTCTCTGCGTTGTCAGATTATCTATCTAGAAGAGGGTGTGCCCCTAAGGGTGGAGGCGTGGATGATCGGAAGCCCACGCGGGGATTCCGGTATTCATCACGAGTGGCAAAGCATCACGTTCGATATTGATGCCGGGAGACAAACAACATCGATTTGTATACTATCAAACAACAACAAAAAAAGTTACAGGTGATGCCTCACCCCTTCCCTGGCGCAGACGCACTGCCACTAGTCATTCGATTTCGCCACAGTCTAAAAGCTGCTGATCGAGTCAAGGACTTAAGTCGCAATAGGAGAGCTATTTTGGACCCCGTCTAACGGTAACGGTAGGATCGAATCATCGTAGCATGTTCCATAACGTGGTGGAGGGTATTCGTACTTTGCCCATATAAGAGGCGAAAAAAAGAGAGTGCTCTACCTAGGTTGAACCATGTTCCGGGAGGCAATCGCCATCGCACGTTTTTCGACGTTGACAACCTCGGGATGTCCAAGTTGCCTTCCTCGTCCAATACTCTTCCCACTTGCCCCTCCAACTGGGTCCCCAAATCAGGGGCTTTTCTCGTGTAGAGTGTGAAAATGTTGGCTTGTTGGTTGTCAGGAAACATGAGGGGAGAGATGTAACCATAACCATGCTGTGAAAGGGTCTAGAACCAACACACTCACAAACCGAGGCTAATAACGAAAACGAGCTGACTCTGCGTCTGCCGGGGCCACAGTTCAGCCCCAAAGCCCCATTTCCAGCCGTCACCACCACCACCACTGGGAAACTCACGGCGAGGAATCCGTTGGCACACCACCATCTCTACAATACCCTGGTTGGCTTTGCTCCTCTCTGCCCTCCCTCTTCGGCCACCTCCGTCCGTCCGTCCGTCCGTCGCCGTCGCCGTCATCCGCCGCCGGAAGACGGCCTCCGCACCTGTTACCTCACCACACCCATTTGTATCCGGGCGCCGAGTAAAAACCCGAAATACACCTACCACTAAACTCCGAAGTCATTCCGTCGTACACAATCTCACACACCCTCCCCCTCTTCTATGTTGGTGCCAGTGGGATGTAAGGTAGGTAGCCAGTACATACGTCCACCGCCCCCCGGGAACCAACAAGTTACGCATATCTCTGGAATTGCCGATGCCTCATTATCGCTGCCTCACCGTGTACTTCTACCTGTGAGGAATAGCAACCTTTCCTCCACCCTTAAAACTCGGCATCCGGCAGTCGCATCTGGTACCATCCTGCAAAAATATGTTGAAATTCAAAAGGCGAATGAGGAAGAGCGCATAATGATCAACCCTATCATCCCGATTCAAGTACGTGTGCACTCGGAGACCGGGTTGTCAACGCCCGGGTAAGTCACGAATCTACCCGTAAAGCAAATCGGGACTCAATAGTAGAGATGAAATTGTGTCTTGGAACTCTACCGTACCTTCGAGTGACTTGCCATTATGCTTGTGTCATGTTTTGCAAAGCCCACGAGGGAGGGAAGGAGGGGAGGGGGGGGCAACATCGCTTTCAATGTTTAAAGTCCGAAACAACAAGACGCACGTCAAAAGGATGCAAGTACGCATTCCAAAACGACATCACCAAGCTTGACCGTCGGCCACGCCGAGAAACCTCAATCCCAACAAGAAAGTGTGAGCGTACGCAGTCAAAAAAACATGAGACGGAAAAGACAAAAGCGGGGAAACCCGTGGACTATGAGGATCCTCCCCAGTCTACCTACCTTACATTGAAAAAAAAAGATGCGATGAAAAATGGAAGCAAGATTCGAGTCTATTGGACCTGCATGTCCCAGATCACAGATGGTATGCATGTGAGATGGACATCCACACATCCTTGGAATGTCCTTCCCCCCCTTCTCTTCATCCAGCCCTTTGCAGTTTGCACACCCCTCTTCTCAGAGGGATTCAACCCCCCCTCACCGCTGCACGCCACGCATGTTCTTGCGTCAACTTTCCCGCGCATTTCACACCTTACATCGGCGATACAGGAACCCGGTCTGGCCGCCGTTGCGCGGCCAAAAGAAAGAGACTACCTTACGGGGTTTGGTACACTAGGTACTCGTAGGCGACCATCGTTGCAAATGTTAGAAAAGACGTGCCAATGCCAAACTCTAATAGCGACCTTATCTCGAAACAACGTCACCCGTGGCCTAGGCAAAGGGGTTGCAACGATACTCGCTCCCACACTCCGTACTGCATACTTGATGTAGGTAGGTATGGCAAGGGCAAATCTCCAACAGCTCCAAACATCTCTTTTGCTTCCCGCCGCTTGCTCCCATCCATCCCATCCATCACTTTGGGAGAGTTCATCGAACCCGACCCGAACGAACCCGGTCCTGGCTGCGAAACACGAGGCACAGATAACTACATGCCCCTACTCAGTACCTACCCACCCATGCAATGCCAGCGCGGTGCAGACTGCAGTGAACCCAACTCCTTGGCCGATCTGGTACACGTACCCACGCGATGTCTCTCTCCAAGGACTCTTCAAATTTTTGAACTCACCGTCCTCGTTCCCTGTCCCCCGTCATTCGAATGAGTGACGAACATGGACTGTTCTCGACCCTGCCCATCACTTTTTGCGTGTTAAACTTAACCTTGCCCTCCTGCGTGTACTCCGTAAAGGAACACACCCCCCGGACCCGTCGCCAAACCCTACACTGCCTTACCTTACCGGCAATCGCTCATTGCTACCAACGGCAAACCACAGCGGCAATCGTCGTCATTGCGAAGCGAAGCAGAAGCAGAAGGGGAAGACGACGAGAAGAAGCTAAATTATGCGGTTTTCGTCAGCGGTGATGTAGGCTTGCGACTCAACCGTCTCACCACATTGAAGTTTCCAAGCGATGCTCTTCCTCCCTTGGGCCCTGGGTCCTGGCTCCTGGCTCAAGGGTCCCCCCGTTGAATGTCACTGCTCCCCACACTTTCTCTCGCCGATCAAAAGAGGCTCGAAACTACATACCCAGAGCTTTCCGAATATATGCCCCGACATCCGACTCCCGGCTTCCGCGCCGTTGCGCCGCTCTTCTTCTTCATCTCCAGGCTCCGTCTGCGGTGCGGCGTGCTCTACGGGGTACGGGGGAGGCCAACGGAATAGCCGAGGACGACATTGTAAATACTTTTTTCGTGTGGGATAAAACGGGCAGTCGTAAGTACTAGGTAGGTGTTGCTGTATAAGCGAGGTCAGACGTATCACGTAAGTAGGTATACCTACCACCCCGCTGTGTAGCCTCAAAAAAAAGACAAAAGAAACGCTTTTGCCGACCGCCGAGACAATATACACTCCGTACCTTGGCTTCACCTTAAAACCTGTCGGTCAGCCCGTTTGCCCCGTCAAGGCTCAACGTTGTTTCCAGTGGAGGTTCCCTTTTTACTCGCCCTCTGATAGCTTAGAGGTGTGTGTGGTGTGTGGGTGTATGAGTGTTGCGTACCCGCGTATAGGGGAAAAAGGTCTTGTTTTTTTTTCTGGAAAGGAAGTTGAGACCATTTGCTTATGCAAAGTGTATTTGGGGGTGGGCGTCTTGCTCAACGTGCGGCTGAATGAACCCTGTGAACAAGTCAACATCAGATGCCGTGGCCAATCAACTCGTTCAATCGCGAGACTTTGCGACCGCTTTGGGGACTTCCCGGTAGGAGCTCTCTCGCCTCGGGCACCTCACGTACATACACCACACCCAGATCTACCCATTGTCGACTTCCCGTCTCACCCCCCTTCCAAACGTCTTACTCCTTGCTTGCCAAGCAAACGATACAGCGAATGCCCGTTTCTGCGGGTTGCCTCTCGTTTTGCCCGTGTCTTATTCACTTCACATTGCTGCTAGATGGTTTGAATTTGTATGCGCGCGCAAGGTGGTATCATGTCCGTATTGATCGGTCCAAGTCAATGGAAGCAACGAAACTCTTCTCTCTCTCCTCTTACAGTTACTTTTTTGGGCCTTTCCATGATTGTGATAGTAAGCAAACAGGACTCCTCGTTCGCGTTGCCAGGGTGAGCGCCGTCCGTACGCCGAACCGAATTGGGCCGCGTCGTTGGCTCCGTCATGAGGCAACATGCAAAATATAGTAATACAGTCCAGAAATACAGACCAGGACACCGCTTCGCCAACCTTCCCTCTCTCTCTTTCTTCGCACCGTCCCGAAAAAACAAAAGCCTCTTGGGAGCCCCATTCCCGGCTGGGGGCCATGCTTCCGAAGGGGCATGAGTGACGCCGGCGCCCGACATGGATCTTCCGTTGTGTTCCCCTCCTCCTCATTTTCATCGTAATCGTGTACATGTATTTCGTCGCGAGAATAAACCGTGTATAAGGCGAACGAGGACCGTAGAAAGCGAAAATCCAAGATATGTACGTGAATCGCTGTAGCTGAAAGGGGCACCTATTCCTCGGTCCAGAGGCGGTTCGCGGAGGCACCCCATAGGCTGGCAAGTGTTGTTATGAACCGGTAAATCGTCATCGCTATACCAAAGGTGTAAAACATCCCGTAGATGTTGCCGACAAGAAGGTTAGGTAGCTTTGCAAAAATCAATTTGGAAATGGCTCATCGCCGTTTCATCATAGGACCACTGCCATCGTAATCCCAGGCCCGCTTGAGACCGCCTTCGTAGACACTGGCCACGGACTCCTGCCACATCGCCGGCGAGACAAAAGTCTGCACGGGGGCTGCAGAGTATTGTTGCGCCAACTGTTGAGAGGCCACTGGGAGAGTAGCATTGACAGCCTGAATGTCTTGGAGAGACGGGGCTTCGGGTGCACCTGAAGACGGAGAAACACTAAGCGAATTGGACTGGGGAGGCAGCGTCGAAGGCTGTGGTTGGACCTGAGGCGTACCGAAAGACGTGTTCCATTGTCTGTAGACATGTATTAGCGGGTGCCTTCGTTGAAGTATGTGATTGTCGACAACAACTTACTCAAAAATACGTGCGGGATTCCACGCTGGCGCATCCGACAACGACATGGTTTGCTGCATTCCCGGCGCTTGGGAACCTTGACTTGCCATCATGACGAGTGACTGTATAGCAGGCGAGTCACTCTTGGTATCCACAGGTCCGGCAGAAATAGGAGGTGTGATGGGGTGGCTGGTATAACTGACTTGGGAGTGTTGAAGGTTCTGCGTGTCCAACTGGTGGTCCAAGGAAGCAGTGCGTGCCATACCCGGCCTGTAACCCCTTGGAGGACTGGAATGGTTGGATGACTGGGGGCTGCCGTAAGGGAAGCTGGGCTTGAGGACAAAGGGTTTCCTGACGTCAGCAGAAAACGCTTCGCGCACCGCGTCGACTTGCTTCTGCAGGTCGGCCATCGGCCAAACCGACATGACCCTTTCGAGCACTCGCATGTGTCTCGTGAAGAACTCTCTCGCATCAGTGTTCAGATCAGGGTCTGGGGAGACGACGGCCACCTGTGTACCATAAAAGTTAGAGAGCCAGTAACGGGGAATCGCAGATCATAACCCACCAGATGGAGTACAATGCAACACAGTCCACAGTAGACGGTGAAGCTGAACCCACGAAGCATACACTGCAGTCCAGGGAATCCGAATGAATTCAAAACAGCCTCCTGGAGCCGGCATAGAGCCTTAGCAGAAGAGTAGCAGATCATCATGTGCTGTTTCCATTGTCCATCTTGCGCGTTCGGGTCCAGGAAATTCAGCTGCGGTCGATGAAGCAGAATCAGGGTTAGATAGTAGTAGGAATGCAGGTTGCCGATGTAAGGTGACGAAAGCCATGGCGGCGAGCCGTCGGGCGGGAAAGTAACCGACAAATCCGCTGGAAGATCATTCAACCAGGCATTCAAGGCCGGGTTGAGCTGCACAAACTCGGGATCGACGCCCCAATCCTTCGTCTTCTTCTTCTTGAGATGGCCATAGGCCGTGTTCATGCGGCTGACGTTGCGGACAATTCGTGCGAAATAGGTGAAGTTGCGGGTGATGTGGTACTCAGAGTCGTCGCCTCCAGGGATTGGGCGTGGGACGCTGAAATCGATGGAATCCAGCTCCACGGCGAGATCGGTACGGCCTAAGGGAATTAGCAAATTCTCACAAAACGTCGAGAAAGACCAAGTGCCAACCTTGGGGAGAACCAATCATGGTTTCGCACACAAAGATAGACTGCCAGATTCGACTCTTCATCTGACAATCCAAGGGAGAAGAGCCACACGGCCTTCCCGCTTGATGATCCGTGTAGTGCTCGTCCAGACCAAGATCCTTACCCATCTGAACGCACTGGACAATCGTCATCCACGAGCGGTAGTAGTAACCACGCTTTGGTGCTGCCTCCCGAGCTTTCAGGATGAGGAGCAGGGCTTGCAAAGTGCTCAGCCTCGGTACGTCCATGAAAGAGTCGGCGTGCTCTGTCATGGTTGTTAGCCTTTGCCTATCCAGCTGACGAGTGTTTTCATACTTGTTGCCAAAGCGAGCCACTGCTGCCCTTGGGCAGGGTCGTCGGCTAGTCTTCCACCCATGGCGAAAAGAGCTTCGAGAATGAGAGGCGATACGGATTCTCTGTTCGTATTCCACTGGTGATAGAAGACACTTTTGCTGAGAACAGGCACGTAGGGATGCACGTGGCTGAAGAAGAGATCAAAGTAGTGCATGACCGTCTCGTCATCCGGCATTAGTTCAGGTGGGATGCGAATCTTGAGGCCTGGTCCGGTGATAATTGGCGGAAGAGGAGTCTTGTACTCCTCATCCTCAACGGCGGGCTCCTCATCATGCAGAAAAGAGGCCTTGTTCCTCAAGTACGGCGCTGTATTACGCGTCAGTAACTCTACTACGTACGGAAAGCTGCGAGAGAGGGCCTACCTGTTCCAGCTTCGTTGACCTTCAGGGAGCCCAGAAGATCAGCAAGATCTGATTGCTGGTAGGAACCGTCATTGGAGTAGGTGTCGGGAGGGGAATCTGGGCGTTGACTCTGCTGGAGAGGCGGCGTTGGAAATACGTTGTGACCGGTGTAAGGCTGCTCCATCATAGAGGAAGAAGGAGAAACCGTGGTGTAGTGCATGTTATGTTGGTGGACCTGCTGGTCGGAGTAGTGGACGGGTGGAAAGACGTTGGGATCTGAATATGCGCCCTGTGCAGCATACATCGAAGGGTTGGGCTTCTGGGCCCCTGCCATCATGGACTGTTGCTGCATAGGAACTTGCTGGCGGAAGCTGTTCTGCAGTTGCGATGAGGCGGCAGCGAACTCATCCCCGACGGGCTCATAGGCGTCGGTCGAGGTGCCATCGTACTGGCCATTGGGGCGCACACAATGGAGCTTGAGTCTGATACACGCCGAGCAGGGCCAGGTGTTCGTTGTGGCCGCATCGCACTTGATCTTTCTTCTTCTGCATCCTTCACAAGCTCTCATCACTTGATTTCATCAGTTTAGCTAGACTGCACGCATAAATCATTTGTCCAAGGGAAAGTGAGCATACCCTTCAATCGCTTATGGCGATTGTGTTCATCCACGAAGACATAATCTACAGAAAGGCACATTTGGTTAGACAAGACGTTGTGGGCAAACCGGAGCGGAGGGCGGTAGAGGTGGAGGTGGATGGCGCACTCTTTTGGGTTTCCCGTTGAGGGAACTGCTGCGGCGCAAAAGAGAAGCTGCCCATCTGGGAGCTCTGAGGCAAGATGCGCCTCACGGAGGGATCGTTTGACATTGTGATTTGGGCGTGACGAGTCGATTTGTTGGTAGCGGTGAGGTCGTGGAAGTAGCCTCGAACGGAGAGCGGAGTCAAAGAAGCGGTTACATTCAAGCCGGTTGCTTGAGTTCTGGGTATGCGTAGCTGGCGACGACCGTCCCGACCTGGCCGCGCACTCGGCGGCTCTTGCTCTCTCTCACTCGCGCTCGCTCGCTCGCTCTCACTCTCACTCTGAGTGAGTCCTTCAGTGCTGGAGATGTCGGCGACTAGACAGACGTGTCTTGTGCAAAAGACTTGTTGGAAAAGAGGAAGTTGTAGGAAAAGAAAGTACCAGAGGGGAGTTGTGTCTCGAATTTCTCTCTCTGGGAGCGCGCTGGGCTAGGAATTGTCCGGATTGGTGGGTGATGGTGAGGGGGGTACGCGGGAGAAGGTCAAGCCTTATTATGAATGGACGACAGGTCCCGGCGTGAGGCGTGAAGGGTTGACGTGGGTAGACCTAGACGGGGAGGCGACCGGGGTAAGGAACAAGATCTGGGCTGGGTACACACAGGCAGGGTCATATCACTGAGCTGCTGGGGCCCAGAGGAAACCGATGTTCGATGATGGATGCGACCAGGAGTCGATGGGGGGAGGGGGGCCAGGACCCAGGACGGCCTAGGATGGCAGGGTAGGCTAGACAGAGGTGGACAGTGCTGTAGGAGGTGAGGATGAGGAGAAGAGGAGCGGCAACGAAGGAGAGCAAGAGAAGAGGTGTGTGTGTGTGCGTATGCGTGTGAGTGTGTGTGTCCAGGGTTGCAGGAGGCGGACAGGGTTGCGTGAAGGTAAGGTATCCGTACTCCGTAGTTGCAGTGTGAGTGTGGTTGTGAGGTAGCGTCGTCGAAGGGTGTTGGAGAGAGGGAAGACTTGACTTGGGAATTTGGGACCTTGGGTGTGGATTGTGGAGTGGATAATGGGAAGAGAGAGAGCGTGAGTATGAGAGACAGAGAGAAGGAGAGAGAGTGTGTGTGTGAGAGGTGTGTGGGTGTGTAAATGTGTTCCTATGCGGATGTGGAGGAGGGCGTGAGCCAAGGGTGGGATGTCGAAGTTGCGCATTGCGGCGACGGCGTGAGCGGCAGCAGCAGACGGACAGGAAGAGCTCAGCATTGAGGCCTGGGGTCACTTTACTTTCTCCTCCTCCTTCTCCGCCAGCTTGACCAAGTACCTTTCCTTACAACAGTACTCCGTTCCTCACCTAAGGTCAGGCAGGTAGTGAACAGGGCAGGGCAGGACGCATCAGCGCCATCTCAGTAATAAGGTACGTCCCTAGCTGCGCAAGCAATAGCACCAGCGCCATCGAGACCGAGGAGACATGAAAGGTACAAGGGTGACATGCCATCGGTAGCATGAGGGACAAGTACCTCATCCGTCTCTCTACCCTCTTCCTCCGCCTTTGCCTTCTTGCCTCCCTGACGGATCTCATCTTTCTTGCTCTCTCCCAGAGTCCCCATCAACTTACTAGTGTAAGGTAGAAGAAGATGGGCTCCTCTTTGCCCCTCTGGCAAGCTCGCCTCTCACAGTGCAGCATCATGTCCATAGCGATCCCGGTACATTGCGGCTTTGAGAGATGGTTGGATGCGGTATTCGTACCTCATCTCACAGAGTAGGTATCCATACCAATGCCTACGCAGTATCCGTATAGCGCTCTGCTTTCTGAACGAATATCCGTACCTTGGGGCCAGACAAGGCAGGCCGAGACGCAGAGCTGGCGGGGGGGCCAGCGTGCAGGGCAGCGTTGCAAGTCCAGAGGTAAAATGCCCTGTCGCAGGCCGAATCTGGTAGTGAGATGAAGGATTGGTCAGGGGATGCGAACTTTCAACTCTCGACGGGACTCGGGACTCATGGCCAGCACATAGGTACGAATACATACGCAGGTACGAAATACCTACGGTCCACGGATACTTGACTGACGGCTGTTGCCTTCTATTCTCATTTGCCAGGTTGAAGTTTGAGGGCTTCTTTGATGCTGGCCGTGTGAAATTGGACCCAGGCTTACCGGGCCCCGGGAAATAGCGTCGACAAAGAAGAAGAATTGGTTCTCTATGCAAGCCAAAGAATCGTGGTAGTATACTTCCCACCCGGCATGGATTAACACCGCCTTAGTGCGCACTGCACAGTCGTTTCCCCCTCCTTCTCTGTCTCTCTAAATCCGAGGTACTCCGTCCGTATCCGTACTTTCTACAAGAAGAAGTACTCCGTAGTATTATTAGTCCGTCTTTCTTTCATCTTGGTCAGTACTTCGTACGGATACTTGGAAGACGCCGACGACGACTGTGGCCAAAAGGGGTGACCGAGGTCAAAAAAATAAATAAAAATGAGGAGACTGGGCTGACACACAGACAGCAAATAACGGGCAGAAGAACAAGAGACGGATAGAATGTCTCCTGTTTCTTTTCTTGGGTCGGACGGGGAAGGCGGGGGGCGAGGTTCGAGGCATGACACAGACAAGGAAGTGCTGATAAAATGCACCACCATTTCCAAAACAACCTCCTCTCGTACTCACCACTCAGTAGTGTACCGTGCTATGTGTGTCAAGCACGCCTCCTCTCCTTGACGTCGTAGGGCAGTGCGAGCGTGTTCGAGCTAGAGACAATCAATCGACTGGTATAGGGCAGGGCCAAGACCAGACGTTCTGGGCACATCAGACACAAGAGCGAGGATGGACGCCGTAGTGTATCAAGGCACCAAATGCTTCAGAAGAAGAGGGTTGGGCCCCCCCAGGGATGATAGGGGTCCACGTCCGCCCAAAGTCCGCAACATAAGCATGATCTGTGCCAATGTCCGTCTTCAAGGAGCAAAAGAGAGTCGAAGCAGTTCGGTCTATCCGTACTTCATCGTCGATGAGATGGAACATACATCAGAGCGGCGGCGGTAGCCGATGTGTCGTCGGTGGCTTCAGTCTCAACTCTCAATCGCCAGGACCATCCATTGACAGGCAAAAACCGAGTCAGAATGCGGCGAGCTGCTGTGAGTGATTGAGTGCATCTGTGCAAGGGACCAGCACGAGGCATGTAAGGTACATGACCTCTTGTCGGAAGTAAAGGTGAGAGGTACCCGTAAGGCAAAAGGCATTGGGTTCCGTGGACGGGTGTGTATGCGACCAATGCGCTGCCCGAAAGCCCTCGTCGACTCTCGCGAGTCCTCCGTCAATGCCCCCCTCGCCCTTCGAGCCTTGAGGCCAAGTCCCAGCTCCCATCAGTGGAAGAGGAATTCCGAGATGCCCTGTCTATGTGCGCGCCCATTTTCCAATCCGAGTCGACTCCTTGGACGACTTGTATCCGTACTCAGCGCAGGGAAAGGAGACCGTCGATGACCATGTATTCGCACGTAGCCACTGTTGAATGCACTGTATAAGATCTCGACTTGAGCCCAGCTGCCTGCCCAAGGGCGCAACTTGATGGGCCTTCGCCTCGTCGTCATCGTCACGCAGGGCAGTGTCACGAATACAGTATTACTCCACACTGGAAGTATACTGTGAATGTGCATTCGCAAAAACTGAGCATGGAGAAATACGCCGCCGTCCCCCAGCTGCCAAAGTATCCTCCGGCCTATGTGCCTCTACCTGTACAGCTGGGAGGCTAGCCTGACCGTATTTTGCGTCCAACGTCGTCCCAAGAAACTCAGAGACTTCTCAATAGGCTGGCCCAGCCACAATGTAAAAAAAAAAAAAAAAAAAAAAAAAAAAAAAAAAAAAAAAAAAAAAAAAAAAAAAAAAAAAAAAAAAAAAAAAAAAAAAAAAAAAAAAAAAAAAAAAGCAAGCGTGCCAGCAGCAAAGAGGGGATTTGTTAGCGGAAAGGCAACGGGGGGACGGCCGGGGGAGATGTTCGAAATGGCGGTAGGGAATAGCGCGAGCGTGGTAGGGTTGCCCATGGAATTAAGCACCCAGACAGCGAAAAGGGCACAAAATCGTCAATGCCCCATGTCATCATAATAAGTGGCCATGCTCATTCGATATTGATATCAAGTTCCAACTCCCAAGATACCGAGGTGCAACCAAATGAGGCAAGTTGCCTGAGGTACGACTTCTGCATCGCGCTTCCTTTTGCTCCTGGCTCCAGCCCTGGCGGAGATTCCTCGCACTCCCAGTCTCCCTCCCACTCGGGTGTCATGGTACTTCACGCCCTTTTTAGTGCCAACATCCATGTGCCGGATGCCTCAATGTCTCCGCTGACAGGCTGGGAGCTCAGCTAAGCCAATGGATCGCGTAGGTATCCATCCTGTTGCCGCAGTAAGCACACACGACGACAATGACCAGATGATCCGCATCTTGAGGAGTCGAGCCAGGTGGTACTCCGTAATAACCACCTTGTAAGGAGTCTCTAGCGTCGAGAGAGCAAACCAGGCAGGCGGATTAGCATTGGCAGGCAAGGTATCTGTACCCGTCCGTAGGCTGTAGCCGTACCTTACCCGCCTTGTTGCCCTGCCCAGTAGGGCAAGTCCACCAATTTCTTCATCCACAGCGCCATTCAGCCTGGCATCTCTCGTGGGGTTGGTGGTCCCAGTCTCGCCCAAGGCCCAAAGGGACCCTCATACTCCTGACCGTCCTGGGGGGGCAAGGGGGCTGCTGGGAGACACATAAGATTGAGGACGGGTACGGAGACGGTACCTGAGGCTTGACCCCGTCTTATCCTGCCTTGATGGGTCAAGTGCATCATCCAGTCTTGTTCTCGAAGGAGTCGACCTCAACTGTCCACCGACCCCGTTCGGCCACAACGGGGGACGTGGAAGGTGGAGGGCTGCGAGGGTCTTAAAGCAGAAGCTCTGCTCGGGAGCCCGCTCTGTCGGCCCCAGACCGCCCTGGTCTGGGCAAAAGGCAGACGCACACCACAGAGTGTTTGAACTTTGAAGTTGTGTGAGCTGGGTAGGATTCCGCAGAAGGATAGTAACACATATAATCGTCCACGGTGTTGGTGGAATTTGCCAGGCGCGGAACACCATGCACGCGGTTTTCGGCTCTTCTTCTCTCTTGGCTTGGATTAATTAGATATCGGATCGTCGTCAATGATGCTGGGTGCCGCAGAGTAGCTGGCATACCTAATCATCAAACCTTAGGCGAGAGACTAGGCTGGCACACCGAGGACCAAGCATTCAAAGCTATCTTTTCGGCAGACGTTGTCCCGTCTGCCATCGTGCTAACGGGATGAGACAGCAGCACCGTCGAAAGCCGGCGGAGGCGAAGCAAAAGACGGTCGTCGCACCTTTGCCAAAATGGCAATGACAGGTGGCCGGTGGAATGGCTGAAGATTCTCTGAAGGCTTCTAGTCGGAAGACTTGAGCTGAGCCGAGCGCTGTCTTGTTGAGCTTGGATGGCGTGGTGAGGCACTTGCACCGGCTCGAATCTCTCCTGCCTTAGTCTTCAACTTTGATCGACAGCAAGCCATCTCCGGGGTTGGAGAGGCCCTGGCAGCCTGGCACGACGCACGCCTGGCTGCAATGACGAGCCGATTCGAATGGTGTCCAGGAAGCCGAGAAGCGGACCGAACCAGAGTGCTGACGTCGAGCGGCGGCGGAAGGTTGTAGGACGAGATAGCCCGAGAAATGTGCAGAGAGCCAGTCGTCGGCCATGGATGGCCCATGGGTGTGTATCTTGGAAGCTCCTACGGATTTGCAGCGCTATGCCATGCCATGGTCAATGATCCATCGAAAGGCCCTTTGGTTTTGCATGGGTACGGCGTGGGATGCACAGCAACGCCAACGCCAACGACAGGTGCATGGGGAGTGGTCGGAATGGGAGTTGGAGATGGGAGATGGTCAAGATCCATTGGAACGGAGACACGGTATCTGCCGCTTTGTACCGCGGTAAGGTACCGCAGTTGCAGTCGCGAAAGGAAGTTTTGGTTGTGGGTTACAGCCAGGTGCGATCCCTGGCATCTCCACTGCCAGCTTACCTTATCATTACAGGCCGGCTCGTACTTACCCTAGCCCACTACCTCCACCGGCTGGGTACGTTAGTGCGTGCTTGTCCACAGTCCACCAGAGCTTGCAGGGGCTGATACTTGGAGCTAGGCCGCACTGGATATTAGGTCCTTCGAGGTGATCCTGATGCTTGGGTAATCATCTTTGGGTTCGTACCTTCGTACCTTGCACTTCCCTCCATCCGATGACACCGTCTGCACCAAGTATTCTTGCCATGTATGCCGCATTTCCTTCGTTAGGAAAAGTGTGGGAAGGTGCCTCCCTGCTGTGTAGGCACTTTATCTACATAGTACAGTGAACCGTTACTTAGGTGCCCATACTTACCTGGTCATAGGTAAGGTTACGTACTCCGTACCTGCCTTTTTGTCGATTACACACCCAAGATATCTTGCTTGCCTCTAGCGTCAAGCTAAGAATCTCAACCTGCCACTTTTCTGACCGGCCTGGGTTTTGCCGTCGCCATCTATTTCATTGTTTCTGTATGTCTACTATTCATTTCCCTTCTCCATTTCGTTCTGCAAGCATTTCTCGGTGATTGCAATGGAATACACGGATACATAAAATGTCTACGGTGCCTGTCAGTGGCTACTTGCTGCTAGTATAGGTACCTTTTCACTATACTGCTGCAGCCATGGCCGTCACTTATCTATACCTCGACTCGAGTAAGCTAAGGCAGTGTTCGGACATCTTCGCAAGGTATTCGAATGTACTCGCTGCCTGGGCCTGCAGTGACTTGAAGTCGAGGGACTGCAGAGAGGAGGGGGACGGCACACGCCGTACAGTAAGGTACGTACTCTGCACTGCATCTCAGATGTGATAACGCACCTCACCACACCTCAACTCTTCCCACCCCCCAGTGCCGCTCCCATCACCCACGAACCAACTGATCAAAGCAGTTGCTAGGTCCCTCTACTACTCCGTACGGAGTATTCGACTTCCATCACCAAGCCACCACCACCTGGCATCAAGGACGGATACCTATTCGCGCCGGCCTCACCCAGCTTGCAAGACGCAAAGACACCAGTATCCCCAACACTCGACTGGCTTCAATACCCTGCCGACGAGCCCCCGTAGCCGAATCCACACTGTCTTCCCCTCGCCTCTCGAGTCCCAGCAGCTCCAGCCTCCAGCCTCTAGCTTCTAGCCTCTAGACTGCCAGGGGCCTCCCCTTGGCCAGGATTGACTTGGTGCCGCTCGCATGGGAATTGGAGCTGCACCACCATGCTCTGCTTGCTGGGGTTCGGTTCTGGAATCCCAAAACAAGGTTCGTCGTGGAACGGCCATCCTAGAATGCTTCTTGAGCCAATTCCTTGAGTTCCAGGCCCTGCCGCCGTATGGCACTCAACTTGAAGTGCCGCTCATGAGAAGCATCGAAAAGCAACGACGTCGCGGCGTTTACCATTGTCACGGTGTCACCCACACTGAATAAAACACTCCAACTTAGCCGGCGGACTCTCATTGATCAATCAATATCTGAATCTCATCAAACATCGAAACCTGCCAACGGGCTGCGTAGGCACGTCCTAGCACCTACTTTACGCACTGCCGTCGACGAACCCCGGGCTTTGATGTAATTTCGGCGCTGAACACTTGGAAGCTGGGACCTCGAAATCACTTCCTGATCCAGTATTATCCAACCATCCCGCCATGCCACCCAATCGAACCCTTCTTCGGGCCTTCGACGAAGGTTCTGGCCTCATCAGCGCCCTGACGCACTGACGGCGCTAATCCAGATGACACTCGGCCAAGCTGCTCCTCACACTACTCATTCTGCTACTCGTCTCACCGGGCGCCTCGTCATCATGCCCTTTTAGGCTCACAGTGCCACACGAAGCGTCTGACGGATACTGTTCGTCGTGTTTCTGTGTCTACTCTGCAGACCAACCGTCTCATGCGGCGAGCTTGTTGGCCACATCGCCAGACCACGCTGTTGTTCCAACGGCCTCACCGGATTGTGAAGGTCCAAGAACCCGCAGCCCGGACAGTATGGCATTCGTTGCGCTGCGGATTTCCGATGTTAGATGTCCGACCAACTTGTATCTTCGTGCCTGGAGGCACTGAAAATTGTGCCATCACGCCACTAAGACGAGGACAAGTCCTCGTACCAAGAACTACAACATCTAATGTCGGATATATCATCCATGCCGCCACGTCGGTTTCATTGTCTGCACCTGGTGCGCCAGCTTGCGCAGACCTAGCATGATACTGCTGTACACATCCAGAAGAATGGCAGCGCATGCTGAAGCTAGGTACGCTATGCCGCATTTCTCGCGGGGAATTTCGAGCTCCTGGACCAAGAAGCGTACCTAGCCACCTGGACCGGAATGGCCTGTCAAAGATCAAGACCACGACCGTGGAGCGACTTACACACACTGGCACTGGCCCAATCAGTGAGCACCACTTCGAGCAAGCCTTCGATTTCGGGGTAATCCTTGGGCGAAATTGAGGGGACACGTCCTCATTCTAGGTTGATCAAAACCTCCAGAAATTGAATAGGCCGGTGGCGGACCGGTGTCGTTTGACAGACGCCTTGGCCCTGTCCAACAGCCAAGTTAATATACATAGCCCGCGCCGCAGCTAATAAGAAGGAATCAACCGAATGGCCTGCAGCCTGTCCTTGTGGGCGAGAAAAGATGGGATGATGAGGAGCCGATGTCTTCATAGGACTCGATAGCTTTGTGGAGATCGCGGGGTCTGATGGCGACCATAACCTGCGCCCTTTTTTCACTCTGGGTAATTCACCCATATCCTCACGGTCTCGCGAATGAGCCTGGAACGTGCTCCTATTAGCAAAGTCCATTTCAAAGGACTCGCCAACGACTCTATGTCCAACCAAAGGCCAACAGGTCGACGCCGTATAGCTTTGCGGACAAGGATTGGTAGTCTTATGGAAGTTGCACACCGGTCTGGAAGGGGAGACCCAACTTCCCCCCATCTTCAAGCCGTTGGTGGGAATTAGCTTGCTGTTTCCCTCGGCATCCCTCACGGCGTGCCATCCTCCACTCTCGTCCTGGAGATGCTGGCATCGGCAGTCTCCCAGCAAATGGAATGCAAGCAGAACCACCTTTTACCAGCCAACCGAAATGGGCAGTGTCATAAGTCCACGGTGAGCAGGGGAGCTGGTCATAAAATGGGGTGAGCAAGCCAGTAGTGTCATCATTCACATGCTAAAAAACTAGCGGTGGCCACCTGGCTTGATAATATCGCAGGCCTTAGAACAGGAACCTACCGAGGAAGCCGTCACCCACGCCAAGTCTTGCCTTACCCTATTCGATCCTGTCAGGCCTGTCCCCAACATGCCGTCCAGCCTTTTGCAACCCTCAAAGGAATACAGCCTATCCACCCAAACCAAAATCTCAAGCTTGACATGAAAGGGGCTGTTGCTGGCTAAGAGCTCCAGAGAGTTAGTTATTGGACTTCCTACCAACCTTCATTTTCTTTGAGTATCGAAGGGGGACGTTTATCCGTACAACTGGCGCACTGGTGGTTTCAGGCCGCATGGCTCGCCCTGCATCCTGGGGCTGTGTCTGCCTCGGATCCGAACTCGTGCCAGCGAACCACGCGCCTAGCGCTAGGAGCTAGCATCTGTCACGCTCGGTTGTTCCCTTTCGCGCAACTGGTTCCTGGAATCGTTCGTTCAGGGGGGGCTCCTGCCTTCGCCCCCAAGATCTCGGGCACGCTGTCGAGCGTGGCTGGATGGACAAGGGGGAAAGCCAAGTACGGGATGGGATTGCCTTTGGATGCACGAGGGGTGTGTCCAGAGCCAGAACGGTCCGAATGGGGATCCAGTCGCTGTGCTGGATGTCCACTTTGCTCCTGATCCATGTCGGTCAGATTGTGTTGGACATTCCGTGACTCGCATACGGTACATTTGCTAGGCGATCCGACCATGCAGGAAAAGCCGACGAGAACGACGGTCAACCGCCAAGAAGAAGGCAAATATCACAACGAATATTCACAAAGTTACACTTTGTGAGGAAGCGTCACAATATCCGGCATGATGGTGGCGTGGTGGAGGAACAGACGACTCGGCCGAGTGCCAGGGGAGCTACCCATCGGGCAGGGTCTGTCCCGTCCGCCCGCTCCGGGGAACCTCTAAAGAATGGGCAGCAAACCAAGACATAGCAGCAGTGCCGAACAACTACACCACCTATACCGTTACGGGATAGAGCATCCGACGCGGTCTGGACAGGGACACCGGTACGTGTCGACGACTCTGAAAGGTGACATGCCCGGGGCACAGTGAGAAACGAAGCAGCCTCAACGGCGGAAACCTCGGGGAACAGTCTCGCAGCGCGCGGCTTGCAGATTGTGGGCAGCTCCCCATGACAGGTGCCAGTCTGCGGCAGACAGGATGGAGGCGTGCGTGGTTGAAACGTTTGGAGCGGAACCTTCAAGTTGGCTTCCGCGAGGCTCCTAGACAAGGATTGCGGCGCGGTGAAATCAGCCCTCATCTTGTTCTATTGCTTCCATTATGCTTCCAAGTTCCGCCGAGTTTCGAGAAGAAGCGGGAGAAGGAATGTGCGATATCCGTGTCCGAGCACCCAGAAAGCCAATTTTCCCTAGCCCCTCATCGAGTCCGCCTTGAGGCCCTTGCCTGTCAATATCCGTAGATGGTTCAGACGACGGAGTCGGGACAAAAGAACGTG